GGCGCGGCGTGCGCGGCGGCGCTGGGCCTTGAGTCGTTCGGGGCCGCCGGCGGCGTGGCTGCTGGGCTGCTCCTGTTGTGCTGGCTGGCAGGTGACTGCAAAACGCAACTGTCGCACCGCACAGGGCCGCTGCGCACGAATGGGGCAAGACGAGACGCGGTGGCCCAAGTTTCTTTGGCGCCCACACGGCACCTAGACGCGCCGCGCCCGCTGTCTGTGGAGTCAAGAGCGTCGGTCCGTGCCGGCGGGCGGTCCTTGCGTCAATTACGCTGCCTCGGGGCCGACGGACTACACCCCCCCCCCCCACCTCATCGCGCGGTCGCCACCTCCTCCCCTTTGGCATGCATACGTGCTCATCTGCCCGCCAGCACTGCGGAAGATAGAGGGGGCCCCTCTGCGCCCTCTAAAGAAGCTTCTTACGCCCCCATGTAACCCTTTGCCCAAACCCCTCGCACCCTCGCTCGCCAGGCCTCTGTTTGCGACACATGCGGCAGCGCCACGCCGCCCGCCCCCACGGGGGCCCTCCTCACCCGTGGCGTCTCGCCATCATCGGCCGGGCGCCACCGCCGCCGCGGCCGGCGCCGCGCCTGCACGGCGGCCACGCGGCCGAATCAGCTGCTGCTTGCGGTCAAGAGCCGTGGGAGGGCCTCCAAAGGGGAGGTGGCAGCGGCGGGCTGCGCCTGTTCGAAGCGGTTTCGGGCCGCATGCTCAAGGCGCCCCCAGAACTTCTGGACGTGCCCGCCTCAAATTTCTGGATCAACCACTTCCTACTTGAGCCCTCGCCTCACCGCGCCGGCGGCCCGCTGGCGCGCCTGCTGGCCCGCCTGTCGCTGTTCGGTGGTGCTCGTGTGGCGCGCCCAGCGGCCGCCCCGCTGACGGCGGCCGCCGCGGCCGGCTTTGACGGCGTGTGCTTCGCCTTAGGCCCTGTCACGGGCAGCTGCCCAGAGGGCAGCTTTGCAGCACCTTATACGGACGCGCGTGACGCGCAAATTCACGCCAGCGGAGGCGGTGGCTGCAAGGTCTGGCTGTTCGAGCCGGCACGGGGGCTGCTGCACCGCTGCCGTCTCGAGGAGCCGCCGCCAAGTGACGCTGACGGCGACGCTGAGTCAGACCCGCTAGGTGGGGGCCCGCTCTGCGGCACCCCAGATGGAATCATGCCGCACACGCCAGATGCGAAATGTGGCGCCACAGCCGAAGGCTGCGCCGGCGCTGGCGCGGCCGGGCCGTCAGTGCTGCTGGACCGCACCCTCACAGAGCAGCAGCTACTGTCAGCGCCAGGCGGCGACGACGTGGCGCGCTCGCTCGCGTTCGGCGCCGCGGGCGAATGCTGCGCAGGAGGCGGCGGTGGCGGCGGCGGGGTGTGCCTTGTGAACAGAAGCACTGGCGAGGTGGTGGGGCCCCAGGGATTGACGCTGCACCAGTTGATCGGGGACCCCGCGGGCCGCGCCGCGCTCGAGGAATGGCGGCGCGCGACGGCAGCGCGGGCGCGGCGCTGGGGGCCGTTGGCCAGAAGATGGCGGTCGGGGTGAGGGCCACCCCGCAGCGCCAACGACCTCTTGATTGTGGGCCGCAGCTGCTCTCCAGCTGCCGTGCGGCGCGTCCCGAGAAGCTTCTGCTGGAGCTTCCGAGGGACGGCAGCAGCTGCAGAGTTTGCGGCCGTCGCGTGCGTCCAATCTGGCAGTTTGACGAGTTGGGGCAACCGCAGAACGGTGCAGCCCAACCGCTTGCATTGCCCGTGTATCCGATGGTGTTTTTCGTACAACGGCTGTACATCACGCTCGCCGGCGTCAGCTGCGTCCGCTGGATTCAGCGCCCGTTTTAGTCTGTGGCTCTGCCGCCGAGCTACACGGTCTGCTCCTCCGCACATGCGCTGCATGGTGCGGGCGGCGCACCAAGTTGGCCGTTGCGAATCCTGTTCCCAACCCAGCAGTCCACCGGACCGACACTTTGATACCACCTCGCGGCATCCTTTCTGGCAGGCCAGCAGGCACTCGCTGATGACCCCTGTTAGACACTCGTGCCATTTTTCGGGTGGCAGGCCATGCCACAGCCTGCCAAGAAACGCACTTCCAGAGGAACCTCCCAAGGGCTGTTTCACAGCACAAGGTTTGCGGCCGGCTACTTGCCCTGTCTCCTCCACGTTTTGCCGCTCCTCCTTACAAGTAGCACTGTGGCAGGGGCGCTGCAGATGCAGCGCAAGAATACAACGTCGTCAATGCAGCAGAACAGCAGCCCTACCTGGCCTTTCCAATGCGGAATGCGGGCAATGCGCGTGTCTGGTGCAGAGAGTGCACGGGCGAAGAAACCGGCGACGCGGAGTTGCAGGGGTCGAGCAACAGAGGGCTGTCGCGGCGGCGCAAGGGGAGTTGGGGTGACTGACGGGACGGCCTATGCAGTGCGGGGGGAAGCGATGGGGGTTCATGCTGGTCAAGTGGGCAGGCGCCTGTGCAAATGAGGGAGTGGATCCCCAGAGGGGGGTCGCTGTCTGATCGCTAGTCAAGTGGGCGGCGAAGCAGTCTGTCTCTCTGTAAGCAAGCGGGGCGCGGCCACGCAGCTCCGCGCCGCTTTTTCTTCTGGACGGCAGCCGCGGGCATATCGGAAGCAGTAAACAAGCAAGTGCTAATGGCAGTGCCAATGCTGGGCGGACGGGCTGGCGGTGCCGGAACGCGCAAGATTTGCAGCGGGGCGGCCGGCGCGGGGCGCGGCGCGGGGCGTCGCGCGCCCGCCTGCGCTCGTTTTGTTGAGGGGCGGAGGCAGCAGCACGCGGGAGCAGTGGCCCCGCCACAAAGCGTAGAGGCAAGGGGGCCTTATCGCCGGGGTCGTGTGCAGCCTCAGGCAACTCTTCCAACGAAGGCTTTTTAAGGTGCGTGCTCCTGGTCGTTTCTAGCTGCCTTCTTGTATGGAAAAAATACTGAGAGACGGGAGGCGGCGGCGGCACGCGTCGCCGCCGCAGGTGGTGGGTGGTCGGTGCAATTTGCAGTGTGCCGCGTTTTGCAAGTCGGCTGTGCGGGTCGGCGCGGGAGTCCCTTCCAAGGGGTCCGCCGCGGCAGGCAGCCGCGGCGCCCGAAAATTCGGATGTTGGTGCGCGCCGCCGGCAGCAAACCGCGCGCGTGGCGCGAGCGTGCGGGTAGGCCCGAATCGGGGTCCATGCGACGAGGCAGCCGGGCGGCCGCCCTGCTGCCGCCTGCCTGCAGCGGGCGTGCGGGACGGGTCGCCGCGGCGAGGCCGGATCACGCATCGAGGCAGCCGGGCAGGCGCCTGCAGATCTCGATAGCCTCAAGAAGGTAGTAATCCCCATACACCAGCCCACGGTCGATCGCGATCCCCAGCGGCCGCGCCGCCGTGCCGTGCTTGAGCATCGGCCCGCCCCGCGCGGCGCCCACGGCCGCGGCTCCGGCGCCAGAGCGCGGCGGCGGGGGGGCCGCGAGGAAGCGGCGGCCCGCGAGCGCGCGGATGGTGGAGGTCGCGGCGCAGAGGTATCGGCGGGCGCAGTCGGTGCCGGGCTGCAGCTCGGAGAGCGTGAGGAGGGCCATCGAGGCAACCGCGGCGGCGCTGGTGTCGGTCGGGCCCTCGAGCTGCGGCAATGCGCAGTGGGACGCAGGCAGGGGGCAGCGCGTTGGGGAGCAGGGGAGGGGGGGAAGGGTAGCAAGCAGGAAGGAAGGCCGCGCAAGGGAGCCGTGAGAGAAAGGGGGCTCGAGGAGGGTTGGCTGGTTGGCAGGGGAGGGGTGCAGGAGAAGCAGCCACTGCCCTGCCGCGTGCGGCGCCGCGCCCGCCCGCCGGAGCCGCGTCGCGACCTATCGCAGGCGCCCAACAACACGATGGTTTTGCCGCGCGTCGGCACCTGTGCGCGGGAGGCGCCCGGCGCCGGCCCCTTGGACCCCCTTGCGCCTCTCAGACCCGCAAAACCCCCCGGCCCGCGCAACCCTTTGAGAAAATGCAATCTTGTCACCTCCTGCTCATAGGCGGCGTTGAAGTCCCAGTTGGGGATGAAGCCCCCCCGGCCGGGCCCCTCCATCTCCCCCAGGAGGTCAAGCCATCTGTCTGCCAGCCGCCTGGCCGCCACCAGAAACTCCTCCTTGCCTGCCGATTCAAGTGCGGGGCGCCGGCATTTCGAATGTGCTTTGCGGGCTGTTCAATGCGTACCGGGGGTGCGGGTTCGAGCACCACGTTGCAAATGTTGGCATGAAGAGGCCCCGGAGTGACACCCTCCTCCGATGCTGCGGCCAAGACACCCCAAAACCCCAGCCCCACTCCCAACC